TTTTTTATTCCAATGTTACAACAATAACTATTAACCATTATTATACTTTTCATTTTCTTCATGTGTCAGAGACAAAAACTATTTGGGTTTAAGAATGAAAATATTGATCACTTATTAGGACTTTTAAGATTTCAAAAGAGTTATGAGGACTTTAAAAGACTTTTAAACACATTTGAAGTCTTATTTAGACTTAAAGACTTTGTAAGACTCTCAGCTGTTGTCTCTAACTATCCGGTAGTTGAGTCTCCGGCAGCAGCTTTTAGATAATTATACCGTTTAATACTTATTACAATGTTAAAGACTTTTTAGAACTTATTAAGAGTTTTTTAACGTAGTCTCACACTTTTTGAGACTTTTCAATTCTTCCCAGAGGTCGTTGAGTCTCCGGTAGTTTTCCTATGTATTGTCTTTTAACATGAATCTGTTATTATATATTAATATTGTTAATCTGTTTTAAGTATCAGCTATTGTCTCCGTCAGTAAACGAGTTCCCAGCGGTCGCCATCGATCAGGCGGTAGTTGAGTCTCCGGTAGTTATTCATCTGTTATTATATATTAATACTGTTAATCTGCATCTGTTTGAAACCTCCTTAGCTAAGGTAAGGTATCAGCTATTGTCTCGGTCAGTGAACGAGCTCCCAGCGGTCGTCTGCGATCAGGCGGTAGTTGTTTCTCCGGTAGTGTTTGGGGTGTTCTCGGCGCTGCCTCCATACCTCCTCGTACAGACTCCTGACGGCAGGCGGCAGCGGGGGGAACTGAGCGGTGTCAGCGAGCATCGAGCAGTAATCCCACTGCTGCTGCTGGAGCACCATCAGGTGGCGCTGCTGAATGCCTCGCTGCTCCTTCTCCTGCAGCTCCTCCAGCACCTCCTGCTCCATCAGAGCAGCCGAGGGTAACGAGACGGAGCCATCCAGCACCGCCAGGGCGAACTGCACCTGAACGCACCACAGGGAGTCATTAGGATCGACTAAAACAACCTCTGTGGATCAAACGAGGCTTCACTTAAAGACTTCAGACTGCTAAAGACTTCGGGTGCGTTCACACCTGCCTTGTATAGTCCGGTTGAATCGAACCCTGGTTTGTTTAGCCGCTTGGTGCGGTTCATTTGGGTCAGTGTCGAGACCTCTTAAGTGAACTAAACAACCGGACTCTGGTCCGCTAAAATAGGTGGTCTCGGAGCGCTAATGTAGCGTTAATGTAACGGCGTTATTTTTGGCAGTAACTAGTACTCTAACGCGTTATTTTTTTAATTCAGTAACTCAGTTCCCGTTACTACATGGTGCGTTACTCCGTTATTTTTTTTATATAGTCTCGGCTCCCAGACGTTGGTGAGCGGGGCCAACAGCGAGGCGAACAGAGATGAGAACAGAGATGAGAACGCACGAGAATGCACCCTTAGTGCCACCTGTTGGGACTTATTAAGACTTTTTAACACGGATTAAGATTTGTGTAGAGTAGACAGAAAGTTTAAGACTTTTTCAATACTTATTCAGACCTTTTTTCAGACTGCTCAACACTTTCTCAGACGGTTTAAGGCGGTTTTTAGGACTTTTAAAGACTTATTCGAACCTTTAGCACATTTTAAGACTTATTCAGACATAGAGACTTTTTAAGGCTCCCAGCTGTTGTCTCTTATTATCCGGTAGTTGAGTCTCTGGTAGATTTTGGATAATTATACCGTTTAAGACTTAGGTTTAAGACTTTCTTAGAAGGTTTAAGGTCGCATTCACACCTAATAGTCCGTTTGGTGACGACAGTTTGTTCCATTGTTTCATTTTTCAGAAGGTTCGGTTTGCGTTCACACGGCAAAACTCAAACGGACTATAAACTTTAAACACAAGTCATGTGCACGGAAATGCTGTTCAACCATTGGTCAGACATTAAGGGGGTACAAACGCAAATCCCGGCAATTTCTACCGGAGCCTCCGCCATGGAGCATCTGCACTTTCGGCAGGTTATTCTCATGCTGCTGTTAATCTAGAGATCAACAGACACTAGCGGCCCGCGCATATGATTATATAATCAGACAACGTCCGCTAAAAAACATTATAACACATATAATGAGACGCTCTGCAGTCCGGAGGATGTTTCAACGACGACAGCTGTTCTTACTTTTATGTAGCTGACGAAGAATTTTTACTTTACAGACACTGTTCAACACTTCATTCTGCTTCACTCTTTAACTAAACAACCGCGGATGTCTTGAAAGAGGCTAAAGATTTTGAAGATATCCCCGTTCTTGTGACGCGTAAATACTACGCTTCCTATGTTTTGGTGCGGACTGTGTTCACACCAGCGATGAACCGCTAGCAAGCGCTCCGAGACCACCTATTTTAGCGGACCAGAGTCCGGTTGTTTAGTTCACTTAAGAGGTCTCGACACCGACCCAAATGAACCGCACCAAGCGGCTAAACGCACCAGGGTTCGATTGAACCGGACTATACAAGGCAGGTGTGAACGCACCCTAAGACTTTCTCAGACGGTTTAAGACTTTCTCAGAGCGTTTAAAACGTTCTCAGACTTCCTTAGGCTGTTTAAGAGACTTCTGAAATGGTTCTCAGGTATCTTTAAACTCCTTATTTTTGGTCGGGTCGGCCTACCTGGCAGTGGAAGTTGGGGAAGGGGCAGATGAGTTTGCACATGCCGATGAAAAAGAGCGAGGGGAAGTTGGGGGGCATCATGTGGCGGTACAGGGGCGCCAGCAGCTGATCCTGGATCTGTAGCTTCAGCTGAGCGGCGTCCAGGTACGGGAAGCTGAAGACGTATCCGGTGCAGAACAGCAGGACGTCTGCAGGGCCCGAGGAGCCGTCCTGCAACAGGAAGGGTCTTCATTAATGTTCAATACCTTTTAAGACTGGTAATGACGGATGGAAACGTCTTAAGATCTGTTAAGACCTTTTTAAGACCCTTTCAGACCTGTTTAAGATTTAAAAACACCTTTCAAGACTTATGAAGGTTTATTGAAGACTTATTAGGACTTTTTAGTTTATTGTTTGTTTTGTTGACTAAATAAGACATGAAGATTTTGTAAGCTTGTTTAAGACTTTTTAAGACCTTTAAAGAATTAAAAAACATATTCAAGACTTTAATACTTCAAAGGAAATGACTTAATAAAAAAATATATACTTTAAAGGCTTTTTAAGGTTTATAAAGAATGTACAAGACTGTTTAAGACTTAAAAAACATGGTTAAAGACTTCATTACTTTCAAAGACTTCTTAGGATTTTAACTAATTTAGACTTTTTAAATAATTCTTAAGAATCATCAAGACTAATTAAGACTTTATGATTAATAAGGGTTAGGGTTTAAGATATCTTAAGACCTATTCAGACTCCTAAGGACCCTCTGAATCCCTGGATCTTCACAAACTGGGTTAAAGTAAAGATTATTATTCCTGCTGCTGGTACATTTCCTGACCTGGAAGCGAATGCTGCCGTCTCTATCGACCGCCTCGACTAAACCGGCCTCCTGGATCCCGTCAGGAAGAGGGAAGGTGAGCGGAGGACCGGAGAAACTCAGACGCACCTGCACACAAAACAAACCAGAGAAAAGTCTTCATGAATTGGCCATATTTGTGTCCCATTTTAGTGCCATTATAGTTCAATATTTGCACCATTTTGAGAGTGATATTTTGCCAGAACTTCTGTTTCAATTGGTAAGAAAATATTATAATGTTCAGTTTCTGTTTTTGTAGATGGGAAAATATAAAATATCAGACATTAGGACTTATAAAATAAATATAATTTCTACAGATGGACTTTAAATAGTGCATTCTAAGTTTGATTTGTGCAATACTGAAATAGGACTGGATACAGGACAGTTTTGGTTGTTAAACATGAGCCTACATTAACTTCTAATCATGGAGAATGTTCTGTTGTTTTCTTTAAAACACAGTGGAGTTTATTTTCAAATGAACATATTGGGTGTTCCTTTATTTTACCCTTTTTCTGGGGAATATTTCTTAACTGAATCTAAGAAACCGCCTCATAAACATCATAATAATGATCTCTCCACATTAATCCACTAAAGTTTGTCACCTGAACTCAATGTTTTTGTTACCTGGGCTCCAGCGTTAGCCAGCTCCATGGAAATATCCAGTCCTGAAGCTTTTGCTCCCAGAACGATGACGGTCTTCCCTGAGAACGACTCAGCAGATCTGTACGAGTGACTGTGGAGCACCTCTCCTGCTCAGAGAGGACTGTTAGCATAGCTTAGCATGAAGACTGGAAGCAGGGGGAAACTATTAGCATAGCTTAGCATGAAGACTGGAAGCAGAGGGACATTATTAGCATAGCTTAGCTTAAAGACTAGAAGAAGAGGGACATTATTAGCATAGCTTAGCTTAAAGACTAGAAGCAGAGGGACATTATTAGCATAGCTTAGCTTAAAGACTGGAAGCAGAGGGACATTATTAGCATAGCTTAGCTTAAAGACTGGAATCAGAGGGACATTATTAGCATAGCTTAGCTTAAAGACTGGAAGAAGGGGGGAAATATTAGCCTAACTCAGCTTAAAAGTTGGAAGCAGGGCAACCGTTAGCATAGCAGGGGGAAGCTTTTAGCCTAGCTTAGCACAAAAGTTGGAAGCATGGGGAAGCTGTTAGCCTAGCTTAGCACAAAAGTTGGAAGCAGGGGGAAGCTGTTAGCCTAGCTTAGCACAAAGGCTGGAAGCAGGGGGAAATTGCTAGCATAGCTCCATCAAAAATAGCCATCAGAAATGTTGTATTTTCAATGAATTAGTTTAAATTTGAAATACTTTATTGAACCCGAATTGGAAAATTATTAATAAGCTGGTTAATAAAGAAATACACATGAGTTAAAAAGTATATATAAATATATAAATCGGGTTGAATCTGACAGTATGTATATATATGTCAATTTAATAAACCATATTTATTAAGGTACCTTTAAAGTTCTCCATCCCCGGTATGGTCGGGATGTTAGGAACAGAGTAATGCCTTAAAAACAAATAAAAACAAATGTTAAAACACAAAAAAACACACTTAAAATGAGAAAATACTGAACTTTGGCGACACCTAGCGGCAGCAGGAGGCAAAGACACTTAACAATTTAAGAAATAATAAAGTGATACGTTAAATGAAGTACGGAAATACATAAGAAAAAGGACAATATAATCCTAAAAATGGTTTGAAACAGTTTAACCAACTTCAGTCATAATCATAACTACCAAATATGTTTGTTTATATATACAGTGGGGCAAGGTATTTAGTCAGCCACCAATTGTGTAAGTTAAACCACTTAAAAAGAGGAGAGGCCTGTAATTTTCATCCTAGGTATACCTCAACTATGAGAGACAGAATGAGAAAAAGAAATCCAGAAAATCACATTGTCTGATTTTTAAAGAATTTATTTGCAAATGATGGTGTAAAATAAGTATTTGGTCACCTACAAACAAACAAGATTTCTGGCTCTCACAGACCTGTAACTTCTTCTTTAGGAGACTCCTCTGTCCTCCACTTGTTAACTGTATTAATGGAACCTGTTTGAACTCGTTATCAGTATAAAAGACACCTGTCCACAACCTCAAACAGTCACACTCCAAACTCCACTATGGCCAAGACCAAAGAGCTTTCAAAGGACACCAGAAACTAAATGGTAGACCTGCACCAGGCTGGGAAGACTGAACATGCAATAGGTAAGCAGCTTGGTGTGAAGAAATCAACTGTGG